TCCTGCTGCCGCCCCGGCAGACCCTGCGGCCCGTCACCGTCCGCAACCCCACCCGCTCCGGGCGACTCAAGGAGTACTTCGTCTTTCGGGTAAGGGGAGGGGGCGGGGGAAACGAGGCCACGCCCCCTCCTTTGGACAACCCCCAACCACGGGGGGAAGGGTATACTGCACCGGGCAGTGGAGGCTCTACCAGCCTTGGGGTTTGCAGGGAGGGGAAAGCAAGCCCTGCACCGGGTTTGTGCGTGATTTGAGGCGGGGGTGGGTGGGAGAGAGTCAAGGAATCCCCTTTCCTTTATTTGAAAAAAAAAGGAAACACAAGAAAGAAGGGGTGGAGAGCCTTAGTCCACCCATAGACACCAATGGGATGCGATTTAACTCCTGGTCTTTCCATCGAGTGGAGTTGATTCTTAGATATTTTCCGACTACATCTCCTATCATCCTTTTGCCGTCTGTTGTGCAGGCTCAGGGGGGGTGGTGGTTTTGCGGCTCTGAGCTCGAGGGGGCTTGCAGCCTCACTCTCCCACCCCACCCCCGGTCTGCAATTCCTGTTGGCAGAGCAGGTGGTGAAGGAGGATGGGAGTTGTAGTCCAGCCTCTGGGAGGGCCATCCATGCCCACTGGGGTGTGGTAGAGCTTGCTGCTGCTGAGCCGGCTGAAACAATGATAGGATCTGCGCTTTGCATCGTGGCAGGGTGCAGAATTTGGCCCCAAAAGTATTTTCAGAAGCTCTTCTTTTCAGAAAAAAATGCCAGATCAATTCCCGAGCCAGTTCCAAGCCTGGCCTATTATGTAGGAAAGTGTGGATGGCTTGGGGCCAGCCCGGTCCTTTTCCTGTGATTTAGCCAGCTATTCTCACTCTCCTTTGGGTGGTCTGGTCTGCCCGTCCTTCCTGCAGGGAGGCTGGTGGCCTAGTAAGGCCTACTCGGGAGCAGCGAGCCAGCTGGCTAATTTCCTTCTCCCAAGGGGGAGCCTGGCCTCTTCGCTCTTGGAGCCGTGTTAAACCACAATTTTATTCTCTTTTGGTGTTCAAAGGACCTCGGAAACGGCTCTGCTTGGTGCATTCTTTCAATCCCAGGCGCGCAGGATGAGGCCCTCCGGGTCTTTCATCTGGATTCCAACTCTCTATCAGTCTTGGGCAGCAGAGGCGATTGTGGCAATTGCAGTCTTAACAGTGTGGAGGGCCACCCTGCGCACACCCAGAGTTTCCCGGGTTGTTTGTCACTTGTATGTTTGAAGTCTTTCCTCTGGACCTGAAAGACAAAGGATAGGATTGGTTTCACCCAGAGAGAACAAGATAACATTGGAACAGTGATCCAGATGTTCCAAAACAGCTGGGCATAGCACTGAAAAGCATACTGTCATGTTTCAGTTCTGTTCATTACATTCTATTTCTGGCATTCAGGTCTTTATTATTCTCGTCATATCTTCAGTTCCTTATTATTCCTCTGTCATATCTTCACCTGAAGCTTAATCCTTCAGGTCTATTCATCGTCATCTTCTGGACAACATCATAGCCATTCTGGCCTTAGATGTAGCAGTGTTTTTTTTTTTTTAAATGAAGTTGTGGACCAGCCACTAAGTTCCTCTTTAATGCATTTCACAATGGTCAACTGAAGTCATCTGTGCCTGTTTTTTCTCATGTGGCCAAGACCGTTGTAGAGCGCAAACATCTCAGTTTAATTTGCTTAGGACCTGGTTTCTGAAAGGTGCTGGAAACTCCCTGGTAGATGGTGGGAAGGCTGTAGACATAATATATCTTGACGTCAGCAAAGCCAATGAATGGTTTGTCAGAATTCTCAGCCAACGCTGTGTCCTCAAACGCACAGCTTGAAGGCCTCTGTTGTAATGGATGAGAGGGGGGAAAAACTTTTTTTTCTTTTATAATTTAGCCAGGAACAATAGAACAGGCTGTCAATGAGATACGAGCGGTTGTGATGCCCGCCGAAGACGGAGAAGTACAAAGTGTGTGGCTGCTGACTGAGTAAGTAAAAAACACGATGAGCAGATTGAGTGTTGTTTTTTTTGCCCCCGTTCTGTTTTTCTGTCTTGTTTCAACAAAAGGCGGCTTTAACGTCTTAATCCCCGAAGTTAAGCGTGAACAAGGAAGTGGCCTGCAAGAATCTTGTGATCTGGCAAGAGTTCGTTTATCGGACACCTTCACTACAGCCTTTTTTTTAAAAAAAGGAAAAAAAAACACGAAACACCCACAGCTGCCAGACCTAACGTGAGAGATGTCAACAGTCGATGCTCTAGTATTGCACTAGAGTTGGAGGGCCAGCCTCGGAACCAGACAGACCCGTTCTCAAAGAGGCAGCCGGGCTTTGAACAACCCTGTTGATGGCCTCTTCCAAAGACAACCCATTCTGCCTTTCTAGCCTCGCCAGTCGTATAAGACACCTGCGAACATCCTTCATGATAAGATGGGCAACTTCAGCAGCCCAGATGGTTCTGGTTTACAATGCACAACTGGCTCTAGCCAAAGTAACCGGCTGAAAGGGTTCGTGGAAGTTGCCATCCAAAAGTGTTTGGTGGATGGCCAGAAGGAATTAGGAAAAGGTCATGCGTCCCTTAAGATAACACAAATCTAAGATTAAAAAAGCAAGGGTAGGCAATACACCTTTATAAATACCTAGAACGATCATCATACAATATGCAAACTTTTGTGGATTGCTGTGCAAGATTTGCATCGAAGAAAGACGTGGTGGAAGTTGCCATCCAAAAGTGTTTGGTGGATGGCCAGAAGGAATTAGGAAAAGGTCATGCGTCCCTTAAGATAACACAAATCTAAGATTAAAAAAGCAAGGGTAGGCAATACACCTTTATAAATACCTAGAACGATCATCATACAATATGCAAACTTTTGTGGATTGCTGTGCAAGATTTGCATCGAAGAAAGACGTGCCTGCAGAAAAATCATCATACAATATGGAAACTTTTGTGGATTGCCGTGCAAGATTTGCATCGAAGAAAGACGTGCCTGCAGAAATCCACCTTGCCAAGAATTTTTGGACTTGACATCTGAGAGCAAATTTCCTGGCAAAATCCATCTTGCCATGAACTTTTGGATTTGAAAGTTCTTCACATGGGTGCACACCTAATGAAGTGCATTTTGGGTCCACGAAAACTCGCGTATTGTAGGATGATTTTTTTAGAGGTCTATAAAAATACTGCCTACTCTTGCATTTGTATTTTTTATCGACCGCGCAGCTGTCTTTTATTATAAACATAAGAGTGGGTGATAACCTATTATTGGACCACTAAAAGAAAAAAAATAGATTGCAGGTTTTTACGGAGAAGATTCCACTTCATCCAGCTATGCACAACCACATTGTGCATAGTGGGTGGAAAAAATGTAGAGAATTTTTTTATTTATTTTATTTATTTAATTTATACCCTGCCCATCTGGTCTTCCGACCACTCTGGGCGGCTTCCAACGCATAGATAAAAACGTACAAATATACACACATAAAAATTATAACATAAGCTAAAAATTTATAAATTATTCAAGATGGCAAAGAAGAAAAGGAGAGAAAAAGAAAAGTAATCAAGGGTTAACTGGAGGGAAGGCCTGCACAAACATCCATGTTTTTAGTTGGTTTTTCAAAATACGCAGCGAGGGTGCAGTGCGAATCACCGGAGGGAGATTGTTCCAGAGGCAAGGAGCCACTGCCGAGAAGGTCCAGTTTCTAATTCTTTCCTTGTGGGCCTCTCTCGGCGTCAGGCTCCTCAGCCTCACCTCCTGACTCGCACGGGTGATAAGTCCAAAAAATGATGATAAGGTGCCTGTGCCGAGTCTCTTTGGAGAGGTAATTTCAGATTCAAGACGACCAAAACTGGTTGGTGATCATTCAGCATATACAAGATTTTCTAAATGCTTTAAAGGTAGCTGTTTCCTCTTGCATTCCTGCAGAGGTGGTGGCTTAATGAAATTACTTTAATCATGTTTAAAAACAGCTGTTACTTTTCCTTGCTTTGTGGATATGATGTCTTTTGACTTCTGGGCACCAATTACCAATGTCGCAGACAGCTTGCCTCCTGTTACTGCTGATGTTGCGATAAAGATTGATTTCCAGACGGACTTAAGATGGGCCGGCAGGATTTTGGATTATAAAACTTTGCTTAAAGAACCAAATAGTACGGTTTTGATAATGGGTGTTCTGCTACTGCGCCATTTGCCTCCATTTATGAGGCGAGACAGCAGGACGGAAGGAAATAAAGTGCACTGACCCGCCTTTTCTGTCTCCCAGAATTGACCACTGGAACAACGAGAAGGAGCGCTTGGTCCTGATTACGGATTGGTCCTTATTGATCTGTAAATACGATTTCATCAGCCTGCAGTGCCAGCAGGTGACCAGAATATCGCTGAATGCTGTCGACACCATTTCAGTGGGGGAATTTGAGTTTCCTCCGAAATCTTTGAACAAGTGAGTTCTGCCATGTGGCTTGTTTTGGTTCGGGCTCTTCGGTTGTATTGTAAGATATGACAGCTTTCCCAAAGAGTCGATCTAATGATTGCTAGCAGTGAAGCTACGTTGGCTTCTGGCTTAGTGACCCAGAACCGCGGTCTGTTCGGTTTTCCTAATATCTCTGAAATGCCTGAAGGCCGTTTGAGCTTGGGTTTGGAAATAGAGAGCCGGAGGGAACACAGACCTCTCTCTCTGTTTTATTCCCCCCCTCCCCAGGCGAGAGGGCATAGGAATCAGAATCCAGTGGGATAAGCAGAGCCGTGCCTCCTTCATCAACCGATGGAACCCATGGTCCACAAACGTGCCGTTCGCTACCTTCACGGAACATCCCATGGCTGGGGCCGATGAGAAGATTGCGTCTCTCTGCCAAGTAAGGGGTTGTCCTATAAGGAATTCGTCTGGGGACCTGTTTTTTTTTCCCCCTTAGGCAGACAGATAAAACGAAAACAAGTGAGTTCTGCCATGTGGCTCGTTTTGGTTCGGGCTCTTCGGTTGTCTTGTAAGATACGACAGCTTCCCTAAAGAGTCGATCTAATGATTGCTAGCAGTGAAGCTACGTTGGCTTCTCTCTCTCTCTCTCTCTCTGTTTTAGGCGAGAGGGCATAGGAATCAGAATCCAGTGGGATAAGCAGAGCCGTGCCTCCTTCATCAACCGATGGAACCCATGGTCCACAAACGTGCCGTTCGCTACCTTCACGGAACATCCCATGGCTGGGGCCGATGAGAAGATTGCGTCTCTCTGCCAAGTAAGGGGTTGTCCTATAAGGAATTCGTCTGGGGACCTGTTTTTTTTTCCCCCTTAGGCAGACAGATAAAACGAGAAATGTCTTCCCGTGCGAGAGCAGACCCACTGACGACATTGAATGGGATGCCTGTGAAGTCAACGCATCCCAGAGCCTTTCCCTCCCATTGTAAAGCAAGCTGGGGAACTTCCCAGCTCAGCTCTGGGGTTCCCAAGTGTCCCCCTTCCTGTGACACTGCTAGTTTCCTATTTTTCACAAGCTGACCCCACAAAAGCTCCTACCCCCATGCTGGAAAACATGGATTATATATAGCAAATGCTGTTTAAACAGAGAATGTAAGGCATAGTATAATCTGATTCCCTCTAGTGGCCAGTTCTGGTAATGAGACCATGGAAATATATTTCTCTAGTGAAAGCCATACAAACAAAGCATGGTCTCCGGCACCCTCTAGTGAGCAATTCTGGTAACTTCACTGTTAAAAATACGTATTTTGAAGATTTTAAAGCAAGCTGGGGAACTTTGCAGCCCAGCTCTGGCCTTCCTGGGGTTCCCAAGTGTCCCCCTTCCTGTGACAATGTTAGTTTCCTATTTTTCACAAGCTGATCCCACAAAAGATGGGTTGAAGCTTCCACCCCCATGCTGGAAAACATGGATTATATATAGCAAATGCTGTTTAAACAGAGAATGTAAGGCATAGTATAATGATTCCCTCTAGTGGCCAGTTCTGGTAATGACACTATGGAAAGTATTTCTCTAGTGAAAGCCATACAAACAAAGCATGGTCTCCGGCACCCTCTAGTGAGCAATTCTGGTAACTTCACTGTTAAAAATACGTATTTTGAAGATTTTTCATTTACTATTTTTAATACTCTCAAGACTGTGGGTAGGTGGATTAGTGGATACTGATCTCATGGATAAGGGTCCCCTGCTGTTTCTCCTAAGCTTTTGCCACTGGCAGGAAATTGTTAAGCTAAAATGTATTTTGGGATGCTCTTGGGATCAAGTCAGATCATTACAGCCGGGATCCAGTACAAGAGATGTAGTGACTGATAGAGCATTAACAGAGGTGTGTGTGGGTGTGTTGTGTTTTACAGCTGGAGAACTTCAAAACTCAGCTGATCCAAGCGGTGAAGAAGGCGCACAAAGAGTGCCCTCTGCCGGGAAGGGCCAACGGAGTCCTACTCCTGGAACGACCTCTCCTGATAGAGACCTACGTGGGGCTGATGTCCTTCATCAACAACGAGGCCAAGCTGGGATACTCGATGACGAGAGGCAAAATCGGGTTTTGAAATGAGCCGCCAGAACCACGGCCGGCTCCCACCAAAGAACGGAGCCCTTTGCTAACAAATCCCTCAAGGGAAGAGACGTCAGGAGGAGAAAGAGGAAAGCCTGCAGAAAACCTTTTGTCTCCTCTGGTCCCAAGAGAGGACTTCCATGGGTTAGCACTGCCTTATCAGTGGTATCCCCATCCTATAATATTCTTGGTCAAGCTCTCTCCTCCTCTAAAGTGTTTTACCCAACAAAGCCAGTATGTTCTGGAGCATGCCTATGGTTGTTACCCACCCCTGTAAACATACTGCTGGTTGCTAACTTCGCGTCTGTACTGTTGAGTTCCTGTTATGTCAGGATAAATGCTTCCTTTCTCCCTTTCTCTCGCGGTGATTTAAGGGAAAGCTTGTCTCTTTCTGCAGCCTGTGAACTATGTAACCAAATGTGACTGTTTTGATTGAATCCAGAGTTATTTCCCGCAAACTCAAGACAGTACACTTGGGTGGAAATGAAGCGGAATGATTACATTTGCTTTTTAGGAACCCTATAAAGTTTAGATGCATCTAAGGAAGGCTCCGTGTTGAGGAACAAAAAAAAAATTCTCACTGTGAACACACATGCAACAGTGTCTTGCTTTCATATGAATTTTTGCCACACAGGATCAAGTTTTTGTATCGAAAAAGGGAACTTTTGGTTAGCTTTATACATTTGGTTCTTTTTTTAAAAAAAAAAATCTGAATCAGGCTAATAGCACCAAAGCATCTACATAATCCAAATGGGAAGAAGAGGTACTATAATTAGTTATCACTTAATTAAGAATTACATAAACACCCTCTCTTTTTCTCAGGCATATGTGGGAAAATGGGACTCGTGGCTCTTTTATGGCTGGAATCCAAAGGGCTGCCTGTGATTTATATATGAGGATATTTCAGAAGCTCTGTCTGTCCGCTACTCAAGACAGTAAAGGGTTTTTTCCAGGGTAAAAGGGAGTTTTCTGCCATTCCATCAGTAGAGCGGCTAAGGTCTTAAGGAGAAGAAAAAAACCTTATTACCCTATCTACCCCAGTGTGCATGCATAGATGTCTCCTCTTGACCAGTTCGGCCTTTCTACAGATTCTTCTCGGGCTGTTAGCAAATACAAATAATAAAATATTTCCTGATGTCACTGTTTGGAAGCTGTTTTCTCTCTCCCTCTCTGAAAATGTGTGTCAAATGGTACGGTGCTGTAATGCAACACTGATAGCATGTACTTCTATTGGATGGATATTAAGCTTAATAAACTTGGTCAGTGTGAATCTTCAACCTGTCTGCATCAAGCTGGGATCTTTGTGGCTTAAGAGGGTGGAAGGGCATACTTCATGGGCTCGGAGTGTGTGTTGCCACAGCAGAGCCAACGCAAAAAACAGGCTGTGTAATCACCTTGGCTGGGAAGCTCTGATTTGAAGGATGCTTTCCTCTTTGAGGCCTCTCCTAGCATTGGTGCAGCCCCTTACTTAAAAACCTGCCAGTTGACTTGACTGACTCCAGTATTTAGGCCAACTGAAGTTGTGCCTGGATCTTCAACCTCTCCGTTTACAGGTTCTGGTGTTAAAACTGTTTTGAAGGAAGTTCAAATGACTTTGGCTCTACCCCTACCGTCTGATCTAATGAGAGAGAACCTCAGAAGTGTTTAAAAAATAAATAAACCCACACGGTGTCCTCGTGTAGGAAATCAGTGAGACCACCCCCTTTTGTGTGTAGAATAAATAGATCATCTCTCAAATTAGAACACTCCTTCCTAACCCGTGTAAGTTGGGGTGGAAATCCTACCACCAACAACAACCCAGGCTTTGGTTTCTTGGCCTATCTCCCTCCCCAATTCTATTTTATTTTTTAAGAGGAGGAGAAGCCATAGCTGGTAGCTCATGGGAGTGTGATTACTCCTCTGAAACAGTTGTCCCCACATTGCTGGAACACATCCAGATGCAGAGTGGGAAATACTGCCAGACGTGGCCCACCATAGCCCTCCTTCACACTTAAGGAAACCTGGGGAACCTCAGCTTTTGACATCCGAAAACTTTTTACAGACTCTCAGTTCAGACCAATCTCTCCCTCCCCTGCAAGAAGGGCCATAGAAATCACAGAGTTTGCCTCCGGCCACCACTGGCTGAAGCTCAGCTTATCCATAGCATTTATCTCCCAACACATTCTCTAGAAAGAAGGAACTCCCCCCCCCGCCCTCCATCAGTGGACCTGTGAATTTTAAGATTCATCCATTGCACTGCAGAAATCTTGTGTGGTCTCTTTCAAATATGTGGGATGGCTAGCTCTTTTACACAGGCACCCACCACCCACGCCTGCTTCAGAATTTGGAACCAGACCCAATGCATATGCATCTCGTCTGCAAAGTGTTGTGATCCTAAGTCTCAACACAAAGCCTGTTTAAAATTTTGATACCCATGAAACAGGAGTAGCATTTTGCATCACTATAACGGAGGATCTGCCCCTGACACACACACACCCTTGAATCAAAAGGAAGTATGCCCTTTAACACCTTATCCAACCAGTTCTGCATGTTTTAAGTCAGCCAAAGTATAAGGCATACAAATGGCTTCAGAACATTTTCCACAGGTTGTACCTGTGATCAGAAATAGGTAGGGTGCCTGAACTCACCTGTCCCTTCAAGGTCTGGGAAAAGAGAAAAGAAAAACCTTGCAGGTAATGATCAGAGGCTTTTAAGCCAGCCAGACTGCAACTAATGAACCTGTGATCTCAAGAGGTTCAGAATTCATGATGATATACGGTCCAAGGCATCGAGCCCCTTCTCCACACCTGCTTATGACTCTTTCCGGGCAGTCACTATCTGCTGAGTTGCGACAGACAACCTGCTTGGTCCCCTTCAGTCTTGAGTAAAGAGCTTTCTGACTTCTCCCATCCCACCTACTCCTCCTTTAACCTCTGCAATTCATCATCTTCAGAGGCCAAACAGAGCTTACACTGCTCACGCTTAGAAGAGAGCAAAACACAGTAACTGGAAAAGTTGAATGAACGATGGGACTCTTGGACCCGAAGGACTGAGGTGGCCTTGTTTTAGCAAAGGTTTAACAAACACGTTTATTGAAATTCCAAGAACAAGCTAAGCAGTCTTCACAGATTAAAAAACCCTCCCAAACGGGTTTAGAAGTTAAAGGTTCAAACCCCGGTTTCTCACTGTGCAATACACTCCCCAATCACTGGATTTCAAATTCATCCATACCAGTGTATGGATACCTCACTCCAATCTATAGGCAGATTTAAATTACAGGTTCTTTCACGCTATACAAGCTTCATCACCAGATCCAGCAGCAGTTTCCGCCCCCCCCCCCAAAAAA